AAAAAAATAAAACAAGAAATGAAAAGAATACTATTATTTTTTTATATATTAATATATTAGTATTCTTTTCCGTTTTACAAGATGGGAAAATAAAATTTTTGTAGCCGTTAAAAAACACGGTAAAAATTTTAATTTTATGTTAACTGATGGCTTTTAGGGTTATAGTGAGCACCCGTAAGTTCCAAAAAATTTTTATTTATAAAAGGTAGTATGTAGATTATTCGAAAATTTTTTCAGATTTTTTGAACTGTTACAATGTAAAAAAGACATTAAACTGTAAAAAATAGGGTTTTCCGGGTTCCTAGCTACGAAAATTTTTTCCAAGATCTGGGACCTTGTTTTCCGTTCATTTTTTGGTCTACAAAGTAATTTCAAAGCATAAAAAAAATGTTTAAGTAGGGTCATTCAATCTCCATCAACCGAAAATACCCCTTGCGGATGGACTAAATACTGACAGCTTATTATCAATAAATAGTCAATGGAATGATTTAATCATTAGATGTTATTTATAAGTTGAATCATAGTATACATAATCCAATATAATGAACATCACAAGACGTGGAATATCTACCATACTGTATAATTTTTTTTAACGTCTTGGACTTTATCAAGTAAGAAGTTTCAAGAACCAAAAAAACAATAATTAAAAAATGGGTACAAGAAAAAATACATGCGAGTATAAGTATGAAAAAATATTCTTTAAATAATTCTTAGATTGATCTCATCAAACTCAAAAGACTGAAAAAAATCTTGACTTTTAATAAGGCTTATCATATACTAAGAGATAAAAAATAGATTAAAATAAAAATATGACTTATTCAGACAACCTGTCGCTCACTTTACTACAAGGTGGAAAAAAATGTTTTTTTCCTATCTATTTAAATGTAATTATCGCTTGAAGCACTTAGGTAATAAAAAACAAAGCCATAAAGAGAAAATTATGCACAACTACTTTAACAAATAAATTCGTTTCTATATAAGCATTTAAAACCCGAGTTCTTTAAAATTTTACATTTGATGAGGTGAAAGTTACTTGCAAAAATAACCATTTTCTAAATTCTAGTTCATTAAAATTTAATTTAAAAAATACTCTCTACTGCTTTTCTACAATATGTACTCCTATATTATTTTATTTTAATATTTAAAACAATATACTCGCCATATAGCCCATTGTTATAATTAATGTAACTAAATTAAATTCAGGAGACTAGTTGAATGTGCCACTGTATATTATTTGACAGTTTCTAGTAAAAAAAAAGCAAAAGAAGGGGTTTGAGAAAAATTCATCTGTATTAGTTTCTATGAAAGAAGTAGGTAACATGAAGAATTTTTTATCAATACTCAAGAGCGTAAGAAAACTCTGAAGAATCTGTATTCTCAAAACATTTTTAGTTCTCCAATAATAGCAGTAACATCTCAAGGTTTTTCGATCCGTGCAAAACTTTGTATTAACCATATTACATAAATCGATGCAAAAATAACTTAATCTATCTAACAGCTGCTACGTAGAAAAGTGTATTTTTAGTAAAAGAGCTAAATTGTTCTCTTGAAACTTAGTAAATAACAGTTCTTCCGTAAAAAAATATAAAAAAATATTGCAGTTAATTTTTTTTACCCCTCCACTTGATATGCTTCGACTTTCGGTAGCTAACCACTTTTTTATAAATCTCACGAACGTTACAGATTACCTATAACTCAATACTCATCCTTTCATACTATTATACTACGATAGTATAATAAATGCATTATAGTTAAAAAGAGTATTCTTTAGAAATAAAATATTGTGAGCTAATCTTTCACTTTTTAGGTATAACCTGTAGACTTGAAAAGTACAAATAATAATAATATTTATAATGTTTATAAATGTATCAAAGCTTACTTTTTTTTAATTTTTTAAAACGAAGTTCTTTATGTCGCGTACTCGGGGGGCTGGAATTTTAATACCGACTGATTTTTTTTTTTGTAACGAAAGTGGTTTACCCGAAGTCTCTTCCACTCAAGTTTCCCCCCTTACCCCGTCCCCCTCATCTACTGTTCTCTACACACTTCCTCTCTCGCCACTATATATGTATATCTGCCAACCGTGCCGTGTTACTCTTCTGCACACCTTTGCCCCCCTCACGCTCCCAAGCAATTAATTTTTAAACAAATTTTAATTTTATTTTCTAACAAAAATTTTTATTTGACTTCGAATTTTTTTCTTTTAGAATTCTAAAAATCTAAAAAAAAAAAAAAAAAAATAGTAAGT